TCTACAGAAAAATGCCTTTCCAATGGTGTTCTTGGTTTGGAAATCGGTTCGGTAGAATCACCAAACGAACGGAGACAAAATTCATGTTAGCGTATTAATATATAGATGTGTGCATACATATCGTCGTTTAAAGTACAAAACCGCGTATCGTCATTCTGCGAGACCGCGTAACTGACATTTGTGCCAAAAATTGGATTTGCCCACAAAAGCTCTTGGCTCAATTCTTACCCATTCGTCCTGAAATATACTAGGCAGAAATACCTTTGCTTTATAAAAAAAGAGAACTATTTTGAAATATGGGTGATTTTACTCTCTAGAAAATAATTTATGCAATTACGCGGTTTTGCATTTTGTTGATACGCGGTTTTGTACTTTAAACGACGATATGTATAGCATATACTTACGGCGGCTGCCGCAGCAGAGTGATTACATGTGCGTTTCCACTCCATAGGACCATGGTTAAAAAGCAAGTCAGATCATAACCCAAAATAGCAGTCGTCCTTTGGCACGCAATGGCAAACCTTCGAGTATATTTCTGCCTTGAAAACTCTTCTTATAAAATCACTTGGTGTTCGGAGGGAGCCTTAAATATGTACATAGGTGTCCCCATTTGTGCCACAACAACAGAACCTATGCCTCAAGTTTGAGCAGAAGCTCGGCCAAACACCTAGAAAAATATTTTAGCACCAAATATTTATTTGTTTACTTATTTTAAGGGACATGGCAATCTTCTGGTTTCACATTTGGAGTACAAAAATCTCAACCCTGATACAACAAATAGGCTGCGTTTCTTTATACATTCCCCATTTGTGCCACAACAACAGAACCTATGCCTCAAGTTTGAGGAGAAGCTCGGCCAAACACCTAGAAAAATATTTTAGCACAAAATATTTATTTGTTTACTTATTTTAAGAGAGATGGCAATCTTCTGGTTTCACACTTGGAGTACAAAAATCTCAACCCTGATACAACAAATAGGCTGCATTTCTTTATACATTCCGGATAATCCCATTTCACAGCCGGAATAAACAGAATTCGATTGAAATGTACGTTAACATATCATCAGGAACGTTCTAAAGAATAAGTATACAAACAAGTTTATTGCAAACGTTCAGAATGAATAAAGAAATACAGCCATGTATTAGTACTGAATGATAATAACAGATTGCATTCACATAAACGGACAATCATACATGATTGAGTTTTTTTTTTTTTGCATTCACATTCTCTATGTGAATGGGTGTCAACCATTCCATAACACACTACATATTTTGTGTTTATAATTTGTAACCAATCTCAAGAGTGGTTGTTAAATTTTTTAAATCAAACAAATTTTTGAAACGAAAAAATGAGAATGTCCACTCAATTGATTCAATCATTGCACAGCTCTGGTATACATGTACATATGCGTGTACATTAGGGCGGGTCGATTTTTTCCCCATAAAATCGCATATGCGGAACATGCTCTAGGTATCATTCTGAACAACTTTGCTTAAGAAACTATTGGTCTAAAACCAATTCCGAGCCAACGAATTTTAAGGGGAAGTTTCATTCCGGTAATACAAAATTTGGTGGAAAAAACTTAAACAAATAGCTGATTTATGAGTGTAAGGGTATAAAAAGCAGTACATTTTTTAAATACTTAAATAACTAAGTTTTTAAGTCCTGCTTGCTTTCCAAGCGTGGTAATTTTTTTTTTACTAACATCTGTCACGATTTTTTTCCGTTACGCGCCGAGAAGCACTGGTTAGCAGTTGAACATATGTGGCATAGAACTTGTGGGTCAGGAAGTGATGGGTCTTCAAATTCTAAATAAATGGCCTTGGCTAGCCAACGGGAGTGCGCTAAAGGTCCAGGTTTTGTGTTAGCTATTTTTTTTGTCGGAACCAAACAGGCAGGGCGTAATTTTAGTCCGATTTCAATAATTTTCAATGGTTTGCTTTTATGTGGNTTTACTAACATCTGTCACGATTTTTTTCCGTTACGCGCCGAGAAGCACTGGTTAGCAGTTGAACATATGTGGCATAGAACTTGTGGGTCAGGAAGTGATGGGTCTTCAAATTCTAAATAAATGGCCTTGGCTAGCCAACGGGAGTGCGCTAAAGGTCCAGGTTTTGTGTTAGCTATTTTTTTTGTCGGAACCAAACAGGCAGGGCGTAATTTTAGTCCGATTTCAATAATTTTCAATGGTTTGCTTTTATGTGGCAAGCACAATAATCATAACGATTTTGGTACAAATTGATTGAAGAGTTATCGAGATTCACATATGTAGTCATAAGTGGGCGGTGCCACGCCCATTTTCCAAAACTTTATCATAAACCTATTTTTTGCTAAATAATTATTGCAAGCATCAATTTTGAATAAATTACGTACAGTATTTACTGCTTTATCGAAGATTTCGGATTTCTCTAAATAACCATTATATGGGATGTTGGCGTGGTTATGGTCCGATTTTAAAAATTTGCAGTCGTTTAGTATGTTGTACCATGGTCAACAACTACTAAGTTTGGGAGAAATTGGTGAAGCGGTTACCAAGATGTAATCATAAGTGGGCGTGGCTGTGCCCATTTTCCAAAAATTTATAATATTTTTATTTGTCGTCTAAAAATTATTGTAAACATTAATTTTGAGTTAATAAGCTTCAGTAGTTACTCAAATATCGCAGTTTTCGTATTTCTGAGAACTTCCTTTATAAGAGAGGTAGGCGTGGTTATTGTCCGATTTTACCCATTTTCAATGCCATCCGTCCTACGCTAAAACGTCGAGATCTAAAACTATTCAGCTACAGAATCAAATTCATCAGCTGATTGGATATGCTAAAGATAGTATTTCAATTATTGAGAGTGGAAATGATAGTTTTCTTTATAGCAAAAATCGAGTCCGATATGTCAAACGTGATGGAATGAGAGTTAAAAGCTTGACATAAACCACGGAATGATTCGTTTAGATCAAAATTAGTTTTGCATGGCTTCGAAACCCCACAGTTTCTTAAGCAAAGTTGCTGAGAATGATCAGTAGAGCATTTACCGCATATCCGATTTTTCCGTTTTTCTGATCCTCTACAAATCGCTCTACCCGCTCTAGTGTACATACGCACCAATTGTGTAGGGCACAGCAAGTATTATGTAGGTAACTACCCAGTAGAAATCGGTTGTATGCGTTCTTGAATGATGCTTGCTATATGAGTGTATTAGTGTGAACAATGCATGCGTAGTCATGAATTTCCACGAATAAATTAAAATTCTAGCGAATTGCAAGCGAATGTACGTTGTCGTTTTTTTAAGTACATTTCTTGATAAATTTGAAGTGGAATTTTTGTAATATTTTCAGTCTTGTACAAAAATTTTAGTGAACGGACGTGTTGTGCGATACTATTTTCAGCACAAACGGGCTTTTACAAGATATGCATTTGAATATGTAAATGCTACTTGTTTGTATGTCCCCGTATATTAAAATGTATCAGAAAAATAGCATTTACATATGGGGTACATATCTTGTAAGAATGCTTTAATACTGTTCCATTAATGCATTTTTGTATGTTTGAAACATTAATACAGCTATATGCATACAGCAGTAGTACAAGTGTATGATTAAGGTAACCACGCGTGTTAAATGGAAATGAAGGTTCATTTATACTGGCATGTATACACAGCAGCAAGCTCATGCCACCAACAGCGATGTTGTATGCATAAGATTTCTACTGGGTAGTTTATAGGCAACCCAACCAGCAATCACGATAAGCATGTACAGTATATTTTGCTTAGCTGCACTTCCTTCTTTGCACGAAAAACTTGTGCACTTAACCGAAAAAGGCACTTAAGCGAATTTTCTTTACTACTACTAAATGGGGAAGGTATCCAAATCCCTATGAAACCAAATAATGGAGAAGCACTTACCACGTAGAAATTACTGCAAGCGAAATTTTTACCGAATAGTATCTAATTATCTATATAACTACATAAATTTATAGCCATTTTCGTTGTTCTGCGAGATGAACAAAATAAATAAAAAGTTTAAAATTAGGTAATTGTAGGGCCAGTGCAGGTAAACGTAATACTTTCTATGATAATTGATACTAGTCGCACAATTTTTAAGGCAGGTATCGCCAATGTGCAGGTTAAATGCATTTATCGGAGCAGTTTCCTTATAAATGTTAAAAATAATGCCTCTGATACGCATTTTGGGGTAGGTATCTTAAATGCGCACTTAAGCATAGAGGCAGCAAAGCAAAATATACTGTACATACAAACATATATATTAGGGCACAGGACTTTTTAAGTTGAAATAAATGTATACTGGAATGAAATAAAATTATGTCTACATATTTTGTTGAATTGTGACGCTAACAAAGTGTTATGAAGCGATAAACCTTAATAGAAGGGCCTGAGTAACCGAACAGCGTATTAGGGTGTTTTCACGAACATAATGAGATTACCATCGTCTCGGGAAGGAATTGGCATAAGCGTCGTTGGTTGTAGTAGTTTCAGGGTTCATTCAATTGGGGTTCAATAGTGGTTTAAATGTTTTAATTTTATATTTCTAAGCACATAGATTTTTGTTGTTAGAGATTTAATCCGAGTGATGTAACAAGGACTCACCGAACCAATACGCGCTGAAAGTTACCTCTCACTTAGGATATCGGATCAAGAATATATCGTTACACCATACCAAATTAAATAAGTTTCCGAGGTTTACGTGGTTACGAGGCATTCACGCGTTTAAATGAACTGCCCTATTTTTTCGTTTATTTTTTGTACATATATGTGTTTAACCTGAATCAAATTTGTTAAAAACAAAGAAAACAGAAAATCTAATAATAAAAAACTAAACGAAAACTAAAAGCAAAACTCTCTGGGAAGACTATACCTGTGAATAATTGTATCATGGTTTTATCCGTGGAGGAATTAAAAACAGGTTAAGTAATAAAACAACTTTGTCTTCATTGTCTATGTGTTTCTCAATCACTACCATTAATTCTATTCGTTTGCAATAATACTTACCAACATTCTCACGGAGGGGCATAGGGTACGTCCAATCATCATCATCCGTGAATACGCTTTCAGAATCCGAATCTGAATGATTATTGACTGTTGTAGAATTTTTGACGGCTGTCATTTGTTCCTATATTTAAAAAATATAATATCAATATGTATACATACACACTTACATATACATAATATCAGAGGCGGGCAAGCTTGAGGCTAATGAGAACCGCTTATAGGGTTTTTTAGATTTGGAAGGAGTTACAAAAAATGCAAATACAAATTTCTAAAGATTATTTTTTGAGCTCTCTTTTTATAATGTTAGAAAAACCCCGCTTAGTCTTCATATTCGAAAAAGTCAAAAAATAAAGTCAACTAAATAATTTAACTTCATAATGATAATGCTGGTCCAGATTTGTACCATAAATTTCTTACCAAAGCAGTAAAGTCTGATACATGGTTGTAGTTGCAAAAATACTGCTGCTGCTGAATCAAAAATATGGAGCGGAGTTCATCTAAGAAGCGTCTCCAGCAGACGGATTTCAACTTTCGCTATCCCCATGATTCAATAATAGATAATAATAATAGATTGGCGCTTATACATATGTTAGTGTTTGGCCGAGCTTCTCCTCCGACTTGTGGCGTGCGCCTTGAGGTTGTCGCACAAAGCGGAGGGACCTACAGTTTTACGCCGACTCCGAACGGCGAATGTATTTTTATGAGAAGCTGTTTTTCATGGCAATAATAATAAATGGTTAGATAATTATTGACAACCGCATTTTGACACTCTCTTATAGTATCTTTCGTGGAGCCATAAACTCGAGTTTATGGGCCATTTTGGAGTTTAACGCTAAACTCTACTCTTAAACTCAGAGTTTTCCATACAAACCTCTTTTTTTTTTTGGTGTTTATGGGAATGCAACCCTATTTTTGACTAAGTTTGGTAGCACAAGGCAAAACTTGTAGCCGCACTATATATTTTGTCCGCACTATTAATATTGCATAAGTCTGGAACAAGCTAAATGTGAATAAGAGAAAGTAAACAACCAATTGTCACTTTTGACAGTTACAAGTTTAAAAAAATAGACCACTTCGTTTATTTGGGAACCAGTATTAACACCAATAATAATGTAAGTCTTGAAATCCAACGGAGAATTCTTTTTTCTTGTACATATATTTATTTGTTAATCTGCTTATTTAAGATACATTAAGCCTAACAATAAGTTTGAAAATCTTTATTCAAATTGACAATGATATAGCTCAAACCCTGTGGTTGAGCCTTGCAGGTGAACTCTTCTTCGGAGGTGTGATAGATGTAGGAATGTATTGATTTTGCAAAGACTACCTTGCAATAATTTACTGGCAATTAAGTTGGATCTGGTAACACTAGTCATACTGTAATTTCTCCTTCGCTTCTGGATCTCGCGCACATTTATTGTAACGTAAAATGGTATAAATGGATAAAGATAGTGTCTCTTCGCTGTTAGTAAAATTACGGGAATCAAACAAAGAATTTCTTGAAAAAAACTTGGCATCGGTGCAGCGCATGCTAGGGACTGGCAACCACTCAAATACTACGCCGGCCTTTAGAAGCTTAAAAAAAATTTAGAAAAATGGTATGCATATGTCCAGCAGTTAGAACATCACTTCACTCCAGAATCAATGATTTTCTCGAAATAATCGATTTTAGAGAATCAATTCTAAATTTTCAGGATCGATCAATAATCGGTTCTGAGAACTCAATTATCTTATTTTCATACATCTTTAGATATGCTTCAGCTATTATAACTGTGAAATTGTGAAATTTTGGGTATGACTTATATAAACATTAAGTAAGACTTATTAGGGCATATTCATAGAGATGCTACAAATGAATTTATGAAAAGAAACAATTATATTCAACAATTTTGATTGAGCTTGAGAACGTTTTTAATGAAAAACTTATTGTGGAAAAGAAGTGATAGCTATTCGAACCGACGATCCCACTGACGCAGCCAGTTGCCTACGTACTGTGCTAAGTTCGCCTTGTGAATTATTGTTGCTTTTTTCCCACTTTTTCATTTGTTAAGCCAACACAATCAAGCGCAGCTATTCCGCTGCAATTCACACTTTATCATGTGGTTGTTGGTTTTGTTGGTTTTTGTTAATAATTATATTTTTAGAATGCTTAACTTTTTAGGTGTGCTCGTCCTTAAGTTATTTGTTTTTGTTATTTTATGGCCTTATAACAATTATATTCAACAACTTTTATTGAGCTTGGGGCCGTTTTTAATGAAAAACTTATTGTGGCAAAAATAGTAGAAGTGATAGCTATTTCGGGAATCACCACATTTCCTCACCAGACTTCTTTCAGTAAGAATCGACCCAACGATCCCACTAACTCAGCCAGTTCGCCTTGTGAATTATTATTGCTATTTTCCCCAGTTTTTCATTTTTCAAGCCAACACAATCAAGCGCAGCTATTCCGCGGCAATTCACACTTTATCATGTGGTTGTTGGTTTTTGTTAATAATTATATTTTTAGAATGCTTAACTTTTTAGGTGTGCTCGTCCTTAAGTTATTTGTTTTTTTTTATTTTTTTGGCCTTTTTAATAATTATATTCAACAATTTTATAATGAGCTCGAGGCCATTTTTTAAATGAAAATTTATTGTGGAAAAGCAACAATAATTTGAAAAAATGGTAGAAGTGATAGCTATTTCGGAAATCACCACATTTCCTCATCAGACTTCTTTCAGTAGGATTCGAACCGACGATCCCACTGACTCAGCCAGTTGCCTATGCACCGTGCTAAGTACGCCTTGTAAATTATCGTTTGCTTTTTTCCACTATTTTAATTTTTGATATGCCAACACAATCAAGAGCAGCTATTCCGCTGCAATTCACTTGATCATGTGGTTGTTGGTTTTGTTGGTTTGTGCTAATAATTCTATTTTTAGAATGCTTAACTTTTAGGTGTGCTCGTCCTTAAGTTATTTGTTTTTTGTTATTTTTTGGCCTTTTAACAATTATATTCAACAATTTTATAATGAGCTCGAGGCCATTTTTTAAATGAAAATTTATTGTGGAAAAGCAACAATAATTTGAAAAAATGGTAGAAGTGATAGCTATTTCGGAAATCACCACATTTCCTCATCAGACTTCTTTCAGTAGGATTCGAACCGACGATCCCACTGACTCAGCCAGTTGCCTATGCACCGTGCTAAGTACGCCTTGTAAATTATCGTTTGCTTTTTTCCACTATTTTCATTTTTGTTATGCCAACACAATCAAGCGCAGCTATTCCGCTGCAATTCACTTGATCATGTGGTTGTTGGTATTGTTGGTTTTTGCTAATAATTCTATTTTTAGAATGTTTAACTTTTAGGTGTGCTCGTCCTTAAGTTATTTGTTTTTGTTATTTTTTTGGACTTATAACAATTATATTTTAACAATTTATATTGAGCTCGAGGCAGTTTTATAAATGAAAATTTATTGTGGAAAAGCAACAATAATTTGAAAAAATGGTAGAAGTGATAGCTATTTCGGAAATCACCACATTTCCTCATCAGACTTCTTTCAGTAGGATTCGAACCGACGATC